GTTGGTGAATAGCAGCATAGGCTATGTGTGATGGAATAAGGGTTGCATTTCATCATGCCCACTACCTCCATCAGTACGTTTTTTTAGGAAAATAGACAACGGTGGTAAATGATGGTCTCACGCCTGCCATCAAGTTGTAATATTATTGTTTGACAGCCGTCTCCGGGCAAATCCAAGATGACAGACTCGTGTTTGACAGTTGTAGGGAGCAATGTTAGCAATTTTGATGATTTAGCCACTGAAATTCATTCAAGAAAATTTCGAGTTTAATTTCTTGTGCTGCTATTCTTGGTAATCGATGTTACTGATGACACACCGGGTTGCTAGGGCACGCGCAGCACGCATTCGCGATATCAATATTCTAGAGCCCTTTCTCCATAATAAAATCCCCCAAAACATATTGGCACCTCCTTTTAAAATCGTATTGGCAAATAAAAAGCCAGAAAAAAGCAGAGAATGGATACGGAATTCTTTCTACGCAGGAGTTACCTACTACTTCTTTCTGGATATTTCCCCATTTAAAACTACCAAGGTGCATACTGCAAAGCGCTGTATTGGAATTTTGGCATACTCGGTTATGGTACAACATTACTGTGAGTAAGCTGACCAGCGGGGAGAGGGGACAATCGCACTGCGGCACGGTACCAATCAATCGTACCTTGTGCGAAAGCGGTCTGAGAGTTTGGATTAAAAACAAACACTCCGCCATAGACCGCAGTTCAGCGTGGTGTTGTGAAGTGATTTTGGATGACATTATGTCATAGTTTCTTGGTACATAACGGCTACCATAGTTGCAACACGCCTTTGAAAAAGCGAGGCGCTAGAGAGTACTATTCGTTTGAATGCAAAATACCGTATCGTTCCGAATATAAGACGACCAGAGGGTTTTGATTACAAAATCTGGTTTTCATCACAAAAGAATAATAAAACACAATTTTTAGAAAAAAATGTATTTGATGATACTGAAAACGTATTGTTTAAAAAAAAAACAATATAAAACAAGGCAGACTGTTGTTTCGCGCCATCTATTGTTGTGAATGTATATTGACTATAGACTATAAAATACGCACAGAGAATCACTGATTTTGACTGTTATAAGCCTAGTCCCCGAAAATAAGACGATCCCACTTTTTCAAAAGAGATTTCCCGGGAAAAAACATCATCTTTTTTTTTTTTTTTTTATTTGGCATCTCCAATCCCACCCGAATCTGGAATGCCCAATTGGTGAACTATGTACAAAGCTTGCTCGTGTCACGACCCTTGCTGCCAACTCAGGAGAGCGAAGACAGTTCACGGCTCCTCTCCGAAGCACGTGCCTGTCAGCCACTGCTTCTTATACACTCATTGGTTGAATCTTCGCAAGTTCAGAACGAGGGCGGAGGATACCCGGACATGAACAGACTTAGAATCTTCCTGACGAGCGCCCGTCTGGCCAACAGGAGGCGCTTGAGCAACGAACAAAGCTATTCAGCTATTTCCCTTTTCCCGGCAGTCCCTTCCCAATTTGAAACCCCGTAGCGCGATGGCCAATTGTGCGCTACTCTGAAAAAGCTGCCGACCACTACCGGTTGGTACGACCGGGGCTCGAACCCGCGACGTGATAGTCACTTCTGCACTGCAACGCAGTTCCTTAACCGAGTGAGCTACCCGGCAGCTCAAAAAACATCATCTTATATTCAGAACAATACGGTACAATTTCACCGCTTGATGGGAGAAATTCCTACACAATGTACCTTTAAAACACATGAGTACTGCAGACTGGCTCAGATTTACTTTTCCTAATTAGATAGGAGAGAGAATTTATGCACACCACTGTTGGAGAGGTGTGCATGAATACAAATATGAAGATGGGCAAACGAGTCTTGTAGCCACAATGCTATAATTGTTAATTTTTTAAACTATATCAACGGTTTCGACTAAGTCTTCATCCAGATATAGAATCATCCCTGAAGAAAATCTCTGTAGTTTCGTTTCTTCTTTAATCGCCGAAATGACGACTTGAAACAGGCTGTTTAATTTACGGATAATCTCGGGTGGAAATAACTTGAAGGACGGATGCCATGGTAATGACGTGACACGTGAAGCACGTAATTGCAAGTTCTGTTGCAATGGAAAACGTTCGTGCTCATGGAGAGGTCAACATCACACAGAACGAAGACACACAGGCAGTTTAAATAATGTGAAAGAGTGACAAATAACACCCAGTCAGACAGTCACCCACACCTGGGCCATCCCAAGGTGATGGCTTTTGTTCCTCAACAAGATTTCAAGACACCTCACCCTAATTTAGTAAGACAATGCCGACTGTCCTCCGGTGCCCTATTGATCTACATATTCTATAGGGAAAACTAGTAGACGGCAATCAACATATTAACCAATCCTTGATGGCCATCTCCCAGCCCACCCCTGTGTGTTTAAAAACGTGAGAAATTTAAAGGGAGCATTTTGAAAAACCTGAAATCTTCCAATCCCCCCGTCTGATCATATGATCACCAGAGACATCTATGATCACCATCACATTTGGGAGAAGAAAATAACAAAAAAGGACAAAATTAATAAAAGCAAAACATACACTTAACATACATGAGTTTGTGATAGTGAGGTTGGTCATGAATCTGAAATTGATTTGAATGCGTGAATTGCACTGCTAACAAAAGTTGTGAATGGTCCAAAAGGGTCCACTCCTATATCACAGGGTGGAGTGATGAACCCCATTAATTTGCCAATTTTGGGCAAAATTTTCCACCTATCCTCTTATTTCATTCGACCGATACTTCCTTCCACGATCTGTGCCTTGGCAGTGGTGAAATATGTTTCTTATTGTCTGTCGGAGTAGAATGAATCCAGTCCTTTGCGATGAAGATCCCTAAGTCACAGTGTAACTGCAGACTTCTTCACGCCACTGGTTTGGCCTGATGTCCCACAGTTCCCGTTGCTTCATGTCATGTCTCTGCTGAGGCAGAGGTCACACAGCCTCCAGAATTACACAGAAAAAAGAACATGACAGTATGTAGAGTTCATGGCAAAAATATTACAATCACCAGACTAGGCTGTAACATGGAATCAGTGCATATCCTGAGGTGTTTACAATGACTATTTACAGATGAAATTATGTTTTTTTCTGTGACATAAAGACATGTTAAATATCACCCTATGTCACTGTACTGGGCAGCTCAGATAATTTGCTATGACTTGCATGTATCCATTTAGGTTTCCCTGTACCTTAACTGCTCCATTAGAGCCTAATCCTATCCTAATTCTTTATCACAATAAATTTACTCTGTAATTGAACTTCTGCATGTGGTCTCCCTTTTATGTTGCACTGCTGGAGCTGGCGGTGTAACACTTGTTTAAATCAGAACTGTAAGTCAGAAGTTTTACTGGCGTAAATAGGTTCATCGAAATTACAATAACATAGTACGTATTCACTTTTCAATGCCATAATATTTAATAATTACGTATTTAAATAGTTAAACACTTAAATATTTAATGTTTTATGGGCTATGGTTATCCCTAAATATAGAGAAATTTATTTTATTTATGTAGGCGAGATGTTTTACTGGCATAAATAGGTTCATTTATATTACGTTAGCATGAAGCATCTATGCACTTTCAGTCCAAAAAGGCGGAGCTTTGCGTGTTGCAATGGAATGTTCTATTAGCTTTCACTTCTTGGCAGTGTATATTCTTTGGCTGAACCTTCCCAGGAGTGTCTGGCCTACCAAATTTACTCCAAGAGTGCATCGATGACTCATCCAGGAAGTCACAAAAGAACCCAGAACAATATCTAAAGAACTGCAGGCCTCTCTTGCCTCAGTTAAAATCAGTGTTTATGATTCAACAATAGGAAAGAGACTGGGCGAAAGTGGCATCCATAGGAGAGTTCCAAGGCGAAAACCACTGCTGACCAAAAAGAACACCAAGGCTCATCTCACGTTGACCAAAAAAACATCTTAGTGATCCCCAAGACTTTTGGGAAAATATTCTGTGGACTGACGAGACAAAAGTTGAACTTTTTAGATGGTGTGCGTCCCGTTACATCTGGCGTAAAACTAACAAAGCATTTCATAAAAAGAACATCATACCAACAGTCAAATTAGGTGGTGGTAGTGTGATGGTCTGGGGCTGCTTTGCTGCTTCAGAACCTCAACAACTTGCCGTAATTGATAAAACCATGAATTCTGTCTCTACCACAAAACCCTGATGGAGAATGTCCGACCATTAGTTTGTGACCTCAAGCTCAGGCGCACTTGGGTTATGCAGCAGGACAATGATCCGAAACGCGTCAGCAAGTCCACCTCTTAATGGCTTGAAACAAAATGAGGGTTCTGAAGTGGCCTAGTCAAAGTCCAGACTTAAATCTGATTGAGATGCTGCGGCATTCCTTAAACAGGCCGTTCATGCTCAAAAACCCTCCAATGTGGCTAAATTAAAACAATTCTGCAAAGAAGAGTGGGCCAAAATTCCTCCGCAGTGATGTGAAAGACTCATTGCCAGTTATCGCAAATGCTTGATTGCAGTTGCTGTCGCCGCCGAGGATGGCACAACCAGTTATTTGGGTTGAGGGTAAATTACTTTTTCACATAGGGCCAGGTAGGTTTGGAGAACATTTTCCCTCAAAAAATGAAATCATCATTTTAAAAATTTTGCCTTTACTCAGGTTATCTTTATCTAATATTACAATTTGTTTGATGATCTAAAACGTTTAAGTGTGAGAAATATGCAAAAAAAAAAAGAAATCAGGAAGAGCATACAGTTTTTCACAGCACTGTATAATTTCAAACTGGCTTACTGATCAACAGTGCAACCTTGCAAGTGCAGCCCAATACTACTGGCTGACTGAAGAAAGAAAGAAAAAAAAAACAATCAGAATTACTTTCCTCTGAGTCTCACATATCTACTCGAGGTTCGAAATGTTAGGCAATAAATTGCATCTCATTTTTGGTTAAAAAGAACCTCTTGAACTTTCTGGAGGTGAACTCACACATGGTCAAGTAAGCGGCACGGTGGCATAGTGGTTAGCACTGTTGCCTCACAGCAAGAAGGTCGTAGGTTCAATTCCAACCTGGAGCCTTTCTGCGTGGAGTTTGCATGTTCTTCCCGTATTCGCGTGGGTTTCCTCTGGGTACTCCAGTTTCCCCCACCCACAAAAACATGCATCATAGGAGCACTCCAACCAGTACCCCTGACCAAGGAACTGGCTTTACAACTGGAGTTGGTCCCCAGGCGCTGCTTGGCGGCCCACTGCTCCTATCTATAGGATGGGTCAAATGCAGAGGACAAATTACCCCTCGGGGTTCAATAAAGTGTATCTTATCTGAGTATTTCAGACCCTGTCTTTTTGCCCTGCAGGAGAATACAAGTAATTGAGCAATAGTACAAAACCAGAGTTTGCCTTATGAGGATTTAGCATAATAAATAAAATAAAAATAAAAATACACCAATTTCTCTGACAGACTTGGCAGCCTTCAGTTGAGAGCTATAATATGTGAAATCGGTTTTGGCTCTCCCGACCATGAGAACCATGTTGGCTCAATCTGACTATGAGATCATTTAGACTCATCGCCATTTAGACTCAAACATTAAATTGGCAACAATGCTTCTTTTTATCTGTGCTTGTTTGTCAACAAATATAGAATTTCAACATATTGATACAGTATTCAGTCATTGAACATTACATCATATGATTCAGAAAAAAATGCAATTTGTGATTGTATTGATAAATTGTCTCAGCCTAACAATTTGAAAATTATGCCTGACAGTAAGCAGCTTTTTTGTTGAATTATTGGCAAATGATTTTCAAATCCTTACATTCAAATGTGATTCATTTCACAAGCTAATATTTACTTTTAATATTGTAAATTACACGCACGTTTGGTAGAACAATTTCATACAACCCCAATTCCAAAAAAGTTGTTATGCTGTGTAAACTGTAAATAAAAACAAAATACAATAATTTGCAAATCTCATAAACTGACATTTTATTCACAATAGAACATAAACATCATATTAGATGTTGAAAGTGAGACATTTTACCATTTCATGAAAAATATTAGCTCATTTTGAATTTGATAGCAACAGCACATCTCAAAAAAGTTGGGACAGGGCCATGTTTACCATTGTTTAGTATCCCCTCTTTTTTTAGCAACAGTCTGTAAACGTCTGGGAAGTGAGGAGACCAATTGCTGAAGTTTTGGGAGAGGAATGTTGTCCCACTCTTGTCAGATTTAGGATTCTAGCTGCTCAACAGTCCAGAGTCTTCATTGCTGGGTTTTTCATTTTATGATGAGCCAAATGTTTTCTATTAGGGAATGGTCTGGACTGCAGGTATGCCAGTTCAGCACTCAGGCTCTTCTACTGCGAAGCTATGCTGTTGTGATGGATGCTGTATGTGGTTTGGTATTGTTATTATTTCAGAAAGAGACGCTGTCTGGATGGGAGCATATGTTGTCGTAAGTCCTCTATATACTTTTTTTCAGCATTGATAATGCCTTTCCAGAGGTGTAAGCTCCCCACACCATAAGCACGAATGCAACCCAATAGCGTCAGAGGTGTAGGCTTTTGAACTGTGCGCTGATAGCAGGCTGGATGGTCCCTTTCCTCTTTAGACCGCACAAGATGGCGTCCGTGGTTTCTGAAAAGAATTTCAAATTTTGATTTATCAGACCACAGAACAGTTTTCCATTCTGCCTCAGTCAATTTTAAACTTTGGTCAAGAGAAGACGGCGGCATTTCTGGATCATGTTCACATATGGCTTCTTCTTTGCATGATACAGCTTTACCTTACATTTGTAGATTGCACGGCAAACTGTGTTCATAGACAATGATTTCTGGAAGTGTTCCTGAGCCCATGCAGTGTATTCCAGTGCAGAATCATGCCTGTTTTTAATGCAGTGCCGCCTGAGGGCCCAAAGAGCATGAGCATCCAATATTGACCTTCGGCTTTGTCCCTTGCGCACTGAGATTTCTCCAGATTCTCTGAATCTTTTGATGATATTATATACTGTAAATTCTAAGTCTTTGCAATTTTACATTGAGGAATATTTTTCTGAAATTGCTCCACAATTTTTAGATGCAGTTTTGTTTTGTTTTTTTTTTTTGCAGATTGGTGAATCTCTGTCCATCTTTACTTCTGAGGGACACTGCCTCTCTAAAATGCTGTTTTTATACCCAGTCATGTAACTGACCTGTTGCCATTTAACCTTATTAGTGGCAAAATGCTCCTCCAGCTGTTTGTTTTATTAGTACCACTTACTTTTCCAGCCTTTTGTTGCCCCTGTCCCAACTTCTTTGAGATATGTTGATGCCATCAAATTCAAAATGAGCTAATGTTTTTCGTTAAATGGCAAAATGTCTTACTTTCAACATCTGATATCTTGTCTATGTTCTATTGTGAATAAAATGTGGGTTTATGAGATTTGGAAATCATTGCATTCTGTTTTCAATTACAATTTGCACAGCATCCCAACTTCTTTGGAGTTGGGGTTGTATTGTGTCCAGCAGCATTAATTACCTAGTAATGGACTTTAAAACTAACAATATGACTGATTTTTCCAAAACCCAACTTAAAAAAACTTCCTCTCATGTCGCATGGTGCAATGGAGAGGGTTTAGGACATATGATAGTTAGAATAAACCATCAGTGCAGTCGCGTACAGTACATGAAGCTTGTACAGGCCAGTTACGACATCTGTCTCACTTGTGCCAGTTGATCATTTGAGTATTTCAACTATGGCTGAGACTGATACCAGTTTTGGTCTATGCAGGCAAGCTATTCAGCTAAATGTTCATCCAGGAAATAATTTTTCATTGGTTAAAGTAATGTGCAATTATTAAAATCACTCCTCACATGCAAAGAAATCGCTACCCAGTGTTGGTGCGAAATAAGTGGGGAAACTGTGCCATTCCATCTACCATGTTTCATCAGTTTCTAGTGTAGCAACACACACACACGCACACACCTACACATACACACACACACACACACACACACACACACACAAACCACACAACTGAAAACAATAAGCCATTGCTTTGCAGCAGGTGATTAAAATGAAGTCTTTTCACGTTCTGGTTTGTACAGAATTGCCTTTCTTTTATTTTACTTCACTTCACTTCAAGCAATCCAGGCTCCAAAAATTATAAATCTTCATAAACACTTGTTCAGAAAAATATATCAATGCATATTTTCATAAAGGATGTGACATGTTCATTTCTATAGGCTTTTAAGTTATTTGCTGTGTGCCCGGCCACACCATTCACACAGACAGTCTGTGAGACTAATATTCAAGGGCAAGTGAGTACTTACTGTTAGACGGGGCTGCGCTGCAGCAGAAAAGTAAAAGCAAAAAATTTAAGAACTTGGCTGCGGTTTCCATTTCAAATGTTCACATCCAGAAAAAAAAAAATATATATATACTGTTTCTTTATATGCAGTGGATAAAGTAGTTAAAAGTAATGGCTGATGAATGCTCATCAGCTGACCATTCACCAGTGCGGCTTCTGAGAATGAGTGCTGAAGTGCTTGCCACTCAGTTGTCAACAGATGGATGATGTCAGCACTGCTGTGCTTTGATCCACACAAGGAACCAGAAGCAGAGACAGAGTACAATCCAATAAGAGAGTTTATTGACAGTACAGTAATGACTGCAAAGGATGGAGCCCAGAGCAGAATGGCACAGTTCAGCTCAGATGGAGTGGGCTTAAGTGTGGGGGCCGTGCCCGGCCAGCAGCATCCTGGGGCAGTAGCCAGACTAAGAACACTCTCACCGGAGACAGAACTGTCAGATGGCTGGACTGTGGAGTATTGCAGGAAGCCCGTCCCGATGACCGTAGAAGGCTTGGGAGGTATTGCTAATAAACGTGGCGGAGGAGCAGACTGTGGCATGATTAACAGGACTGTGCTCCCCATCCTGGAGACCGAGGGAAAAGCTTGGGAACTGGCTCCTATTAGTAAGACCAGTGACGTGCGGTCGGAGGTTAGTTTGGTGAGGCAGAATCCTCCCCTTTGCTTGATTAGCAATCAGATGGTTAACTAGTTTAGGCCAGTTTAAGTTTCCGCGGCGTTATTACTCAGTACATAGAACCTGAAATGCTCACTAGACAGCAGATTTGCACATACTTGCTTCCAGGAAGCCGAAGCAATGTCATCAACAAATATTAAAACAGTTCGACCTATGCAGAGTTCAATGCTTGATCAATATACAATGTATTCTCCTTTAAATACGCGCTTTTACACCCAAACAAAAAAAAAAAAAAAAAAAAAGTGGGCGTTTGTTTTCAGTCTTCTTTCATAATCCGATGAACAAAATGTTTAAACGATATACAGAATTACCGAGAGCCGAGAATTTTTCCTAATTGATTGTTCAGATTTCCATCCTTGCATTCTCGAATTGAAGTGTATACGTGAATGAATCTTTTTGTCATTATCTCCTCTATCAGTATACGGGCTTCCTATAGGCTTGATCTTAATTGTTTTGATTGTCAATCAGGAATAGTAGATGGGAACAGGTTCACAAAATCCTGTGATAAAAGTTTGTGACAGGGCTGAGCCAAAGTGTTGAACCCAAAAGCACGACTCCAGACACAAGTTCCAATAAACAGTCTTTTAATAAAAGTAGCAACTTAAATCCACTCTTTCAGAGGGCCAAGAGAAAAATAACCAAAAACACTTTCGACGAATGAATAATAGTTAAACTGAAAATCCCTCATGAAGAGGAAAAAGACTCATAAACAAAAAATCACTCTAACGAGGTAATGATAAAGAAACAAGGATAAGGCTAGGCAAATTGACAACAGAAAACAATCTTGGCAAAAAGGGCAAAAAGCAAGACAAGAAACAACCTGACGAGACTTGGAGAGATACTCTCGGTATGAAGACCAAAGACGAACTGGCACAGGACAAAGGGAAACACCGACTATAAATACCCACACAAGGAAATGGGGAACAGGTGGAAACAATCAGGGCGGGGCAGACAATCAGACCATGGGAAACACGAGGGAGGGGCAGGACCTGAACAAGAGGAGAGTAAAATTTCAAAATAAAACAGAAAGTCACGAGACCAGACACCAAAAC